GCTTTATTAGCTTTATACTTAAGATTATTCAACTCACCTTGTAGGAATACTGATCGAACATTCTGCAGGCTTCAAGATCATTACTGAGAACGGAATAACCAGCATCCATACTGACCCGACGCTTCTTCTCGCCGCCTAGAACGAGCCCTTGTAAATGAAAAGCGATCTATCACGCACAGACACAGTTTAATAACTAGTACCGAACAAACTGATCGCAATTGCACCGACTATACCGTCGCTCATTGTACAATTCGTTTTATGCACAAATGCAACGCGATACTGTCGCAATATTGTCTTGTCGTATACACTCGACCGGTTTGGCACGCTTTAAAGTTCGTACTTTCCAATCGCGACGAGTATAACGCACGATATGTAATGCAAACGCAATGACTCACGATTCACGCGGATCTTCTGCCAACTTTGATTTAAGCGAGAACTCACAATTTAATCTCAAGTAGTTTTCGATTATCAAGGTATTTAAATGTCTTGCTACGTAGTCGGCGAATATTTGCTATTTTGTGCCGACTATGAGTGGCAAATGTTAACAATTTTATTTTTAAAAAATGACGATGAATACATAGAAATGAAATTGCATTGCAATCGGAAGCACTGGAAACAGCGATTGCTATCTCACTATTGATCACTGTCGATCGCGCGCGACTGAAAATGGACCGCCAACGCAGCACGTGGACAACGCGACTATGATCGTCACTGGTTGAGGTCGGCAGGTGCCATGCAAGACATCGAGATAGTGCGGTTTGTAACGAGAGAGGGCGACCGCCGGCGACCGCGCGCGCGAGCATGCAACGGCGGCTGTACGTTGGCGGCTATACACGGCGGTTACGCTCGTGGCGGGGACTAGAGGAACTCTCTTCTTCGCTGCAGGCTGCTCCGCTGTGCTGCGTGAGCGCGGGCGCGAAATCTTAAGATTACAGTACCGTGCAGTCCCCGTGAGTACACGGATACGAATGTGTTATAAAAGGAGTTGTTATGTTAGGTTAGGGTTAGCTCACGTATGATATCGCAACATCGCACGTTACGCGTGCAACCGCGACAATGTCATAGGTATATACAATGCGAGATGGCTTCCCCCTATGAAACTCGATGTTGCTCTCTGTCCGCTTCTCTCTCTCTCTCTCTCTCTCTCTCTCTCTGACCGAAACTGAAAGCCCCTGCTGTATTCCCAGCGCGCACGTTTTCGTCGGGGTTCGCGATGGTAACCCCCTGCCCCCCCCTTTCTCCCCCGTGTACGTCGAAATACATATAATTATTCAAACTACGCCGACCCCGTGCGTCGTAAATCTCGCGTATAGTCGGGCGGATATCGAAATAGCACGTAAGAATTGCAGATTATTATTATTATTACGTACGCTATAAATTCTGACGAAGTCGGACGAATACAAAAGTGAGATAATAACGATCGATTAACAGCCTCGAGGTCTTTTGTGCAAATGTTGCACAAAACATATATATATATATATATATATATATGTATGTATATAATAACAAAGTTCCATTCCGCAGCTTTTCATTGTAACGTATATTAAAACGTTTATTTACGCGTTGTTGTCATTTTATTTTCTAAATTCTCATTATACGAACGCATTGTACTCGTAAATAATTGTTATGCCTCTAATAACGAATGGCACACTAATTTAAATACGAAATTATAAATCCACCGTGGCGTGAAATAAACGACACATGTACAATAAAATGTAAGTTACATACAAATAGATGCTGAAGATACTCCTTTTATTTTATTCGATACTACGCGTTATTGCAGGCGCAGCGCGACAGATGCGACAAATGTATTTTTTTTATTCGCGCGTGCACGTATTTGTAGTGCTCGAATACGCAATGTAACTAAAAACGTACGTTAAAAAAATGTTACAAAATCCTCAATCAAAAAAATCAAAATCTTTATTGTAACGAGAAATACGACCTGCTACAAAGTTTTCTTTTATTAAATTGTTTAAAAAAATATTGGACTGTCGAAAAAAATATTATTTTGCCATAAATAATAGTTTGGAAATATTAAACTATTTGGACACGTACAGCTCCTACTATACATGAACCACGAATAACTCCGATTTAAAAGAATTGAATAGCGCGAGCCTTCGAAAAACGAATTATATCATTTATATCGCGAGTTGTCACATAGTTTTTAAAAATGAAATACAACGCGTTCTTTTTTTTGACGCAAGCAGAAAAAGATAAATATTATGCTTGTTTGCTTTAATATTATAGCCTTCTATACATATATTATATTTATACATAATACAATTATATAAAAAGCACTAAAATATGCATGTAATAAAATTTCAAAATAAGCTATTTATATGTATAATATATATTATATACATATACATATATATATATATATATATATATAGTATACACATAATACCTATATGTACAAATTGAGTATATAAATATTATGATAAAGCTGTATTTACCAATTATATGATTTATTTTAAACATCATACTGTGTTTAAAATCCTGTAAATTGTTAATAGACAGCATTCATTCATATTCTCACATTGTTTATATAATGATTGAAAGTTAATTTGAAAGCTTATTGGAGAAACGCCATTGTGAAGTGCGCTATAAATGCGTAAAAGGAGAGATAATATGAAATCTCATAAAATAATAATACAATCGAAATGAACGAATGATGATTCTAATAATTCTGTTTAATGATGTTTTGTATTAATAATTCCCCTCCAAGTAAGAAAATGTGAATAAAATCGGAAATACGGCCGATACTTTGGCATATTCGAGCAAATTTAACAGATTTCTGATAGCGGAATTGGGAAACGATAGCTTTTTTTTTGTAATAACGTAAGAACGCGTTCGATCGCCGAAAAATCCTAACCGGACGTCGACTCAGCGTGCCCGATAAAGCGCACCGTCGTTACCGATAATTATCGGAAAACACTTAGGGCCGGTGTCATGTGTGCTAACCATACTGCCTGATTGGCTTGGAACTTCATTAATCACCGTCACTGCTTGATGTATTATTCGCTTTTAACGTACAAGACAGGTCCGGTATCACGTCTGAGGAACTTTACTTGGACATTGCATTGTTCGCAACTGGCGCATGCGATCATTTATACTACTGACTAACAATTTGCGATGGCGGTCCTGACATCGTGTCGGGATATGACGAAACGTATAAGAACAATATCGCATAATATATATTGTATAACCCGAGATCGTCTCTCAGGTCTCTGCATACATATTAGCGACATTAAATTTTATTGCTTACATTACGTATTCAGCTCCTTTATGTCTCAGCTTTTAGATCCCATCTTGTAAGTGGTACGATTTCCCGAGCGATCTTAATTCCTGCTCTCCGTCCACATCGCGTACAATATCATCTGTAATATTAATCCAGTTATTACCATATGAATTTCAACAACATATTTAAATAAATAATTCGCAAATGTACTCGTAAATATTTGTCGCCCCTAATCGAAAACAGTCGACGCACTCCCGCGTGTGTCACAACACATATTGCGATTTAATATACTATATATCAGCAGCAATTTACATTTAAAATGACTAATTGGTAAAACGAACGACAAACCGACCGCTGCTTCGCTATTCTCTCGTCGTCGCAACTTAAGTGCTGTAAATAAATAAAAAAAGTACGCATGCCCATCTGCACCGAACAATCCGGGATTGGCAATCGACGACGGCGACAACGACGTCGATAATAATCGTCCTATTATGTAACGTTAACGAGATGGCGTAATCCGATCTTATCGGCACTGCTTATGATGCATTTTCAGATCAGCCGAGATGCGGACGAAGACAAAAGCGAGGAGAGTAACCCACCGCCGTTCATCACGCCCCCGCCGCCGAATCCAGATTGTGAGTATTAAGACCGCCAAGTAGACACGCGCTAACGATTTTTTAACCGCTCATAAAATGTAACGCTTTATCGTTGGATTACATTTTAACAATTTAAAAGACATCAAAGATACACGGTGTTATTTATTTAAGGACAGGGGGAGAAGTGGTCAATTTATGAAATTATCCCTAATTTATGAAATGTCCCTTGTCTCCTAAGTTAAAAGCCAAATTAAAATAATTTTGCCTCGACTTTTTAATCAAACGATTGAGACTGCTAATTTGACATTTCCATTTTTTTCTTTTCTCTTCATCTCTGCATATATTTGTCGTTACAAAATTTTCATTCTTTTAAATTGAGAAATGTAATTCTAATTGTTTCTTTTTTTTTGCGAGTCAGATTAATCCGAACTGATTAAAATCATTTCGTCACGATATTTAATTAAATGATTGAGATTGCTAATTCGCTATTTCCACTTCTTCGTCTTTTAGTATTCGATGCGCGTTTATTTGCCATTCCAAGATTTTCATTCTTTCATGTTGAGAACGAAATGTTAAATCAAATTGCTCTTTTTTTCGCGATCGGATATTTTTTTTATTATCTTTTTTTTGCGCTCGCGACATTTTTCTAATTTATTGCGGGGATTATTTGAACTATCTCAAAATATCGATATATCGTATCAGTATTTTGGGACAGTTTCAGTCTGACAGTTTTCCAATTAATCAATGCACCGAAACATCAATATCTTCTCTCTCTCTCTCTCTCTCTCTCTCTCTCTCTCTCTCTTTTTAATCCGACATCCCTAGCTTAGTGAAGATAGGACGACGCGTTAAAAATCGTTTATTAATTTCGCTATAGCCGACGTCGATGCGCGACGTCGACTTCGGAGGTATCGCGTCGAAGAAACGATGATAAAATATGAAGCAAACTTTTTTAATCTACTTTTCGCGCGCATAAATCACCCCGGCATGTCAAAACAGAAAGCGACGAAGTTGCGTGGACTTACGGCGGCGCATTCGTTCTCTTTTTTTTTCAGATAAAGGTCCGAAAGGCGAGAAGGGTGACAAGGGGGATAAGGGCGAGAGCGTCCGGGGTCCTCCGGGGCCTCCCGGCCCGCCTGGTCGCGACGAGGTGAGTGCATTATTTAATCAACAACAAAACTTTTTTTTAAACAGATTAATTTTAAGATAAACGGTCACAAAAAGAAGGTCATTTCTTGCGCTTTCTCCAATAATACCTAAATCAATACAGCTGAATAATTAATGATTAAATTATCGGTTGAAATTATTATCATAATTGGAATAGAAAAAGCTTATTAAGAAGTTATCCCAATTGATGAGAATAATACGATTACTTTTATTTTACTGTAGTTATTATTTTGACCATCTATTTTGTAAATTATCCATAAGTCTGCATTTGTTTGCGATAAGTGGAAATATTTTAACATGCTAATAAATTATTTATATTAATATATAATATCTATATCATTAAAAAATAAAAACTGAGCTTTATCTTATTTAAAAATTTATCAAAAATACGCTACAAAAATACGATAAATCAAAAATTTATCAAAAAATGAATTATGTGTATAGTTCGTCAACCTATTTGTTAAATTAAACTATTCTATTTAGCTATTCATATATCTCGTGGTATATATCGTATTATATAAGATTTCATTAGTCGGGGAAAGAGTGTGTGTGCTTCATGCTAGGTGTAGACATCTCGTTATATATTAACTGTAGGTAGGGACCGCGATCGCGGTCCGCAGATCCGTGAGCAGGTACGATATTGAAGGCGGCCTGAATGCGCCTGAATCCGGGATCACTCATTTATCTTGTTATTCGCGTGAGTCAATTTAGCATCGACACCGGAGAACCGGCCCGGCGCCTGTCGCATGTAACACTGATTACACCAAAGCCGCTTTCACGGCGCTTACTATCTTCCGCTGTTATTGGTACACGGTGTACATGCGTATTTGCTTTTAGACACCGCGCCGTCGGAAACTTGATTGTATCGCTTTACTCATTAATGGAACAAATAGTTTGCTGATACTTAGTCGTTAAACGCTATTATAACTGATTCTGCTAGGAGTATTAAATGCAATGGCGACAGAGAGAGTTAAATGAATTGATCTTTCAAGGATTGGCTGATGAAGATACCACAGGGACCACCCGGTCAGAAGGGAGACCCCGGCACTTGCATCTGCAACGCCACGGCCTTAATGTCTTCCTTTACGATGCCAAAGATGATACAAGGGCCGAAAGGTGAGCCAGGAGTACCCGGACAGGAAGGCAAGCAGGGCCTAATGGGTCTCACGGTAATGATTCCTCGTTTCTTACATATATCTCCGGGATTTAACGAAAGCGCTAAAAATGATATACATTTAAGTTACTCACAGCAAATTTTACAATATTTAATATAACGCCTTTTTATACAACAAAAGACGTCTAACATTGTGACGAATGTTAAAAGTATACATGTAAAAAACAAATTTTATAAATCGTTCGTTTGAATTATAGAACTTCTCAAGTTTCTTTCAGGTTTTTTCCTCCTCAAAACTTCATCTTTTTTTTTGGTTTAAAACCATATATTATCACTTTCAGCGCTTCCGTTCGCTGGATGGACAGTACCGTTGTGCATAATTGCATTATGCGTAATTAATGTCGCGATTTCAGGGTGCGGCAGGACCGCCAGGGGAAAGAGGACTGCAGGGTCCGTCCGGGGCGAAAGGTGACAAGGGTGATATTGGAATAGCGGGACCGGAAGGTCCTCAAGGTCAGAAGGGTGAGCCGGGTCGGGACGGAATACCCGGCGAAAAGGGTGCGCAAGGTCCGCCGGGGCCGCCCGGAAAAGGAGAATTTTCTAGCTATGACGTAAGTAGATTGCCACGCTTGAATATGATCTGTCATGCCGAGGCCGAAAGCCAAGTTAAAATATTTCCTCCGCGCCGCGGCCTCTCGCGCGCGGCTTGCATTCGCCATTTCTACTTATCCTCGCGGGATTTTCCTTACATTCGCTATATTTTCGCGGCGACGAGTCATATGAAACTTTCGCCGAGATTTTGTATTTAATTTCTATTATTGTTAACTGCCGTAATGGCCTAGCATGCTGTGTAACGGAAAAGGACGTTGACGACAGTGATTATATCTTTTATTCCCTTTATGCTTTATTCAAGAAATTGCATTCCTTCAACAAAATGTCTATGAATGACGCAACATTACATACGCAAGGTTTTTGTGAACCATTTAATAATACACCTACATTTGTGGAATAAGCAGCGGATGCCTATTGTGTGTGTGTGTGTGTGTGTGTCATTGTGATGGAATTAAAAATTTAATACATTCCATTATCGTCGAATGAAAAGCTGGGAGGAAAAGCGCGCGGGATGTTTGCCTAAATGGTTTCTGCTGGATGTAGCGCGGTGGACATGAAAACGGAAGGGAAACCGGACGAATGGAGGGGTAATGTTAACGCAAGAGATATGACATTGAGAAATTTGCTGGAGAAGAACATTTATTGTGTACGCGATTACTGGGGAGTAGCGGAAATTCAAGCGCGCCCGACCGTACGAAGTCGTCGCTATATAATAAGTAGATAAGTATCTCCATTCAAGAAATTTTCATTATCCCCGTATGAATCTAGCTCAGTCCGTATTATTCGCTATTTTCCCGAAAACGGACACCCGGGGAGCGCGGCAGCCGAGAAACTCGGTGGGAAATGGAGGGCCATATCTTCTCCCGCGGAATCGTCGAGCTATTATCAAAAGTATATGCTATTTAAACATCGCCATTCGACGCCATCCGCTGTACGTTAAGCTCTGTGTGTGTTGAGCAAATTATCTCGGTTAACCATTTTTTTTTCCTTCCTCGCACTTGTGGATTATCGTTACGTAAAAATTATCTAGATGGAATAATATTAATATTTGTTAAAATGAAAGGAAATTAAGGAGATAAGAGACTGATCTTTTTAAGTAAACTTTTCTCAAGGCAAAAATCTTGTACGACGAGAGTTGTTCGTGTTACGAACAATTCTGTCATTTCGGTTACTTATTTGAAGGAACAGTGCAATTGAAGTTTTAATACTACGAATTAAGTCGAAAAGCGAACGCGTTGTGGCACTTGTTGGCATCCCTTAGACTCTCGTCATTAAACACGAAAGACCGAAATTAGATTACAATATCAGAATTACGCAATCGGATGAAAGATATTTATGGCGTTAATCGTGTTTCGACGTTCCTACAGAGCGGAAGGCAATCCAATTTATATCTGGTTATTGAGACGGCGAGGTATTATTGCTATATTATCCATGCTATCGCGCGTTTCGAAGTGCATGAAAGTGCGCGCAAAGGTGTATTTCCGCCGGTTGTGCACGTTGCAGCGTACTTGCTCCCCGTGCAACCGCTTTTACGTGTAGCGAAACGACAACTACAGCGCGCGATCGTGTCCCCACTCGACCCCGACAAGAAATTCGTTGAATGGGAATAGAACGCGTATCGCCCCGCGGGGAATAAGAAACTGTGCACGTAATAACGGCCGAGCTGTAAGTCCGATCCTCGGCCTCCTCCCTTTTCTCGTTCGCGTTTCCCGTTGAGAGCAGTCCTCCTCTCTCTCTCTCTCTCTTCCTCGCTTTCTCTTTCTCTCTCTCTCTTTCCCTATTCCGTCGCGGTCCATTCTTAAAAACGCGACGAATCTCGCTCGGTTGTTTTTTTTTGCCGGCTACGAAAAATGGTCCCGAATCGCGCTGACAGGCTCGCGATATTAAACCGACGTACAGAGCGTGCAGCAATACATCTACATACATACGTGCGATATTAACGGCGCGGTAAAAGTTTCAGCGTTGGTATGAACGAGTGTAGTTTCGGGGGATGTGCTACACGGATATAACACGAAAAATTCCTGACCTCTTCTCACCATTTTCCCCGATAAACAAACTCGTTTCCCCGCCCGGCCTTGCGACCAAGTACATACAGTTGCAACATTTCCGACTTTCTCCGTGACGGTAACTACATTTCAAAGAGTATAAAAGAAAATTCGACCGATAACGGAAAAACAAGAAGACTATACAGTGCGTGCTAGAAACAGAAGAAATTAACTTTGTTGCTTTCATTACCGTATTTACTGCAAGCGTAATATTTAACAAAACAAAATGTAAATATATTGCCCGTAATATAAATAATTTCGTCATATTGATTTTATTCATCGCGCTGAAATAATACCTATATACTCTTTTCAGTTTTACTTCTCTCACCTCTTCGGTGTTCTATCACATTTGCGACGCCCCGATTACTTTTTTTTTCCCCCCCCAATGTTTTCGATTTTCTCGAACTTGCAATAACTCTTTGGGGCAAACATCGATTTTGGCAACGTCCGGATAGCGTCGCACGGAACAAGCCAAATCTACTTAAGATTGATATTCCACGCTGTCAAAGTCAGCGGTAGTGGTTCGATTCCTGAAACCGGTTTCTGGCCACGGGAGAGAAAAGAAATCTCCGCGCTGTCGCGGGAAACGTAACGATCCTGTCGCACCTCAAACCGTCAATTTACCCCCGGAGATGTGGTCGTTTTTCACCTTGTTCTCTTGTTACGCCGGCATTTCGCGCGCGCGCGCGACGCGGGGCGGCGGCAGCGGAAAGCGCAACGACGTCGCGCAGAAATATATATGGTATAGTGGTGAGCGCCGGACCGCACGTCACGCCGGCAGAGAACGCCGAGGGCATCATCGCCGCGCTATCGAAACGAATCGCGCCGCTTTATCAACGACACAAACCCCGTGACGCGGATGCACCCGCATATCGTTGAAAGATCGGCGACGATGCAATATTTATCCCGCCCTCATACCCGGCAACGAAGACGTAAAAAAAAAAATAAATGAAAGGGGGCAAAAAAGAGAGAGGGAGAATGCAGTGCCGCGCGGGTAACGGTTTTCTGTTTTCATGCCGGTGGGTGGCACGTTTCCAAATGTTACACCGCCGCGGAAAAAAAGGCCGCGCTGACCCAGCCCGCGGTAATTGTCGAGACGTCGTAGCGGAGGAAAAATCTCGTTACTCTCGGGGCTGAAAACGCGGAAAACATTGAGGGAGCTTCCCGCCGCCTGCAATCGTATACACGGGATATAATAATCCATTGTTGGATTATTGTATATTTGAATTTTACATTACGACAAATGAATCCGATAAATGCCATTAACGCAACATTATAATTCTTTGATTAAATTCTATCGCTTGCTACGAGCGTTAATTTGATCCATTTGATATCGTATGGCAGTTTATCGTATGGCAGTTTATCGTATGGCAGTTTATCGTATGGCAGTTTCAAATTTCATCAATCTTTATTGATATCAAAAATTACGAGATGAAAACATGTCGGTACAATGCTCTAAAAAAATAATACAATTTTACATTACGATTTCGATTTAAATAAATCTTACAAGGGAACCTCGCGAAGTGTCAAATTCTAATTTTAATGAAACTTGGTACACTTTGAGGTTACATAAATAAATGAATTTAGAAGTTATCAGTTGGTGCTAAAAAACGGTGTAAAGGAATGAATCCACCCCTTATATGTAAATTAATTCTTTTTTTCTTTCGTTATATCTTGAAAACTGTTCAAGATATTAAAAAATGTTGTATACAAAAGTTTTACAGTAAAATTGTCTTTATTCATTTACGTTAATAATATTTTCTTTAATAATTATATTTTAAAAATTATTTGAAAATAATCATTTAAAAAAAATTCAATTAACGTAAATAAATAGAGGTAATTTTACAGTAAAACTTTTGTATAAAACATTTTTTGATATTTTGAATAGTTTTCGAGATATAACGAAAGAACAAAAGAATTAATTTACATATAAGGGGTGGATTCATCCCTTTAAACTATTTTTTAGCACCAACTGATAATTTCTACATTCATCTATTTATGTGACCTCAAAGTGTACCAAGTTTCATTCAAATCAGAATTTGACACTTCGCGAGGTTCCCTTGTTGGAAATAAGTATTAGTATTTTTCCTTATTGAATGTAAAGTTATATATGGCGAAAATTTTAAATCTCACCATAGTTTGTGTAAGTTCTTTTTTATATAAAATGGAGGACGCTGCAGAAGAGAAAATGATTACTTTGTGAATTAGATTATAGTCTATCGTGCGCGCAGTATACCTATATATTCTCGCATTTGTGACTATGCAGCAATATCGATGATTCAAACAGCTAGAAAAGAGACATGCATCTTTACGATATAACGAAATGGTAAGCTCGCAGCTTTGCTTAGGAGCCAAGGAAAATCACAGTCTTCTGCAACTGTAATACAACGACCAATAGCTATATACCGGTCGGATATCCACGTCGTTGAATATAGGACAGTCTGAATAGAACTGCGCTGCTAATAGCTAATACCCCGTTAGCGCCGGATGCGCGTCATTGATAAAGATCCTCAAGAAGTAAACAGTTCACGACAGTGTTCAAAATATTACAATACTCCGCGATTGATGATATTCTAAAGTTGCTCGCATTTAATCTCTTTCCACGGCTCTCGAGAAAGGATTGAATTTATCCATCCTTAAATACACTTATCCACCTTAAATACACTTGTATCTCGTTCAATGAAAACTGAACGGTATGAAAAAGGTATAAATTAAAAATTGATCATATCACGTATGGCTACGTTCGACATATTCTAATTTCTCTCATGTTCTTTAATGATAGATTTCCTGCTTGATGTGAAATCGATTTTTATTCAATAAAGACGTTCAGGTTTATCTGCTTCAGTTTTTAAATTATTAAGAAACTAAAATAATAATATTTTAAAGGGAACTTGTAACGAATACATGTTATTAAATTATTTCAAATTAGCCGGAATGTTACTTGAAGATCTTTCTTAACAGCCATTAAAAATGTATTAGATTTATCTCGATAAGCAGTTACTTTTAACTTGAATAGCTACTTAATCGTATAATAGTTATATTTTAGTTTCGATCGATAGTATAGTTTCGCGTCAGTCCCATCGGGACTGACGCGCATTTAGAATTCCCTTTGGATTATTTCAATATCCAATATGTAATATTAAGCGTAAGAAATATTGTATATAAGTACAGATCGGTTCGATCTGCAAATAGCTCATCCGCGCTGCTTAATCAATCGCGGAGAGTCCAAATGCGGCGATTTAAAATACGAAATACGTATCCGGGCGAGAAGGCCTAAATACTGCACGGCAGGATCGGGGAGGCCGGTCTTGCCGTCTCGGGACAGTTCATGCAAAGACAGATACCTGGCCGCGCGCGCGCATACAGCAACGGTTATCTTACGTGACCCCGCCCGCCTCGCGCCCCGGTCCTTCTACGAATGTGCGAGAGCCCGATTTCCCCGGGGAATACAGAAACCAATTTCTAGGCTGCCTACTGCATGTGCCGGCTAGGTGTACGCCAGGTAGAGGAAGGAAGGAAGGCACGGAGAGACGCGGCGCGCGGGTGTGTTGCGTCCCGGAAACGTCATTGAAGACGGGTGCAATAATACTCGATTCAGATGTTCGCGCGCGTTTCGACGTGTGCGCGGCGCATGTGGCCGCCGATCGGTTACGGCAGATGTTTCCCCGTGCGAGAGCGATCGCGCGGACTGGAATTTGAATGAACAGAGAACCGGGTGGAGAAGAGAAAATTTCGGAAATTGTATTAAGGGTCCGGGGCCCGCGCCACGATGTATTACCGCCCGGCGAACTGCTTTAAAGTAGAAGCGGATTTATAGGTATGTGCTGTATATATACGCGCGGCGTAGAGAAGGGAGTAGAATTCAGTGCGAGTAAAGCATACCATTGAATTCCAACGGAAAGATACGTACGGGATGAACTGCCTAATTTTACGACTTGAATGGAGCGCGCGCGCGCGAGAGAGAGAGAGATATTTGGAAATTTCACTGCAAACAACACCCATTAAATATTAATTATATAAATGTGCAAATAGCAAACGCTGTAATGTGCATACACGATAGCAATGTGAAATATTAATAAACTGCGAAAAGCTTGTATTAATTGAATCAAATAGTGTCGTTACTTGTTAACATGTTTCCAAACAACGGAATCGTTGCGAAATAAGATGGATACGTAAATAATTCTCATAATTTTTTTTTACAAAGAGGAAGGAAACGATACGTATGACGATATAGAATATATAGAATATGGCTGAATATAAAATATGGAGAAGAAGCTGTATATATATCGCGGCTCTATCAATAGCCGAAGAAGTCTAAAAGTTTCAAACCGTACGCGAGAAGCTCTGAATGGGTATGACGAGCTATGAAACGAACGATGGCATTGATATATAGATATACAGAAATCGCAGCGACATGATTTATAGCGAAATGCCCGTGCTAATGCGAAAAAGAGAATAATCGTCTCAGAACGCAGGCGATAGGAAGAAAATATTGAAAAAAAAGAGCTTGAAAGTATTTCCTATACATCAACATATTTCGTTCGATTTAAAAAACTACTGAGTATCATGAATTATGAGTAATAATTGATCTTTTCTTCCGCAGAATTATTTTAAACGTGAAAAATCTATAAATAATCCAACATATTAATTTCTCTCTCTCTACCTTGATCAAATATATAAATTAACTTATTAATAACATGCATTAGCATAAATGTGCAATCTTTGAAACACTTAGATTTAAAATACATTTATCGCTTACAAATAATTATTTTTCAGTATATATGTATTCCTCTTTATATTGTCTATAAAATTAAACGCTAAAAAGCAAGCAAGAGAATTCTCCTTTTCCGTTATTTTCCGCATGCCTGAAAACTTACTTCGTCTTTGAAAGAATCCCAATTACGTAGTTGCGCGAATGGAGGAAATTCCCGTATTTAAGAATGAAATTCGCACTTACGATTCTAACGCGCGCGATTCGATCTACGGTAAAGCAATTTGCGAATCACGCGCCATCAACAATTGTTCGCGCAACAATTGTTCACCACTAACCAATGGCGATGCAAACGTATAGACGGCACAGTGTCAGGCCGGCCCGCAGGCTTTCAGTCTCGCAAACGTTATTCCAATGATTTAATGAGGAAATTTCGATTATTATGCGCATGCAGCCCAGTTGGAAACCTCGAAATATTTACAGAGTGAGTACGGACCGGAGCATTCTGATTACGTCGCAAATACCTTCTCCGATACTTGGAATTCCTTTTCCAAATCATAAAGATCCCAGTAAACAATTTATATGCATGGCAATTCGCGAAGCAGCTTCGCCAATTGCATGAAAAGTAATCTCTTATTTATTTTAATATTTGTTAAATATTTGTTCACCTACAGCCGGAAGGTATCACAATGAGACCAGGACTTCCAGGACAAAAGGGTGAGCCGGGCATTTCAGGAAACCCCGGTCCTAAAGGCGAGGCTGGAATACCCGGATCCAAAGGTATCAAAGGCGAGCCCGGGCACAAAGGTGCCAAGGGCGATCATGGAAAGGATGGTCCCAGAGGAATTCAGGGCTTTAAGGGCGAACCTGGCGCGCCCGGCGCACCTGGATTGCCCGGCGCGCCCGGCGAAAACGGTCGACCGGCGGAGAAGGGCGATAAGGGCGACACAGGACCTGAAGGAAAAGTTGGATCCCCAGGACCACCCGGTCCAGCTGGTGTGAGCGGCCCCGGTGGCATAAACGTGGGAGATCTAGGTGAGCAGATATGAGGATTTTTATTTAAACATATACCAATAACAAATTTATTAGTTACATTAGTCCAATATTTCTTCATTTATTCATTTATTTGGTAATTTTTGTTCTTGTGCGCAATGATATCTTTGCGAAATGATATCTTTTATATACAAATAAAAATTTACCCTAAATTTTTTCATTAACCATTCTATTAGTCTACACGATAATTATGATAAAAGTTTGATATTAATAAAACATTAAGTAAAATTAATTAAATAATAATATAATTGCGTCGCGAAAGCGCAATTCTATCATTTATTACTTATGTTTGTATTATTTTATCAATAATCATTTTTTGATGAACAAAATGAATACGTTCATAAATTTTTAAAGACTTTAAAAGGGGGAGCAGCGTAATAAAGTGGAAAGACGATTTCTCTTGATTTTCCCGATTATTTTGTACGATATCTAACTCAGTTAAAGATGGATTATATTAACTATCTTACAATGACGAAATTCAATATCTATCCCGTCAAGACGGAGGACAACGAGATATAACATTTGAAACGTTATTTAATCAAGGATTTGGCACAAAGGGGGATAAAGGTGATAGCGGAGCGCGCGGGTACAAGGGCGATAAGGGCACGAAGGGCGAGAAGGGCGATAAGGGTGACAGCGGGCCAGCCGGTATTCCCGGAATAAACGGTATTCAAGGACCTCAAGGAGATAAAGGCGAACCGGGTAAAGACGGAGTATCAGGATTACCCGGCATACCTGGCGCTAAAGGCGAGAGAGGTGAGAGAGGTCCTCCTGGAGCTACTACCGTCGCCAATTCCGGCGACTATATCACCATCAAAGGTGAGAAAGGCGCCGAAGGAAAACGTGGCAGGAGAGGACGACCTGGACCGCCTGGTCCCGTGGGCCCTCCCGGAAAACCAGGAGTTACGGGAGAAATCGGTCTACCAGGATGGATGGTACGTGTTTTGATTCGTTGTCTCACTTCACTGTTATAATAAAAATCAAAAAACACCTAATCAAATGACTAAATTAATAGATATAAATATAGAATAACAATAGTAATGTGAAGCAATACTAGATAATGTATAATAATGAAACAGTACTAATTAAAATAACATAATAATGCATAATATTATTAGCAATATTATTTATAGCAATACTATTGATATTCAATATCTATTGTTTGTAGAGCGTAATTATTGTAATTATTAATATTACGTTGGTATTCAATAGTATTGACAATACAGCAGTCGGACGTACATACGTCGGACAATTGTTCTATAATAATAACGTTAGCTTGAGATTCTAAGCCTATTCTAATTTCGTTTCTAAGCCACGTCATTTTTATCTTTTTCACAATGCCAACCGAAGAACATAAAGGTGAGCTTTTAATCAACCCGCATGAAACAACAATTAATCCCGTGCACAAGCGCTAAATGCAGCATCTTTTTAATTCCGTATAGGGGGTATTAATAATTTACGAACGCGCAGTTTTTCTTGCATCTTATTATAAGATTAAAAGCGAATTTTAGTCGTCGTAGTGACGCGAAGAAACGTTTATTAATCGTTTAAACCATATAGATATATAGATTGCTGCAGATACACGTTACATTTGTGTATCCAATTGAAAATCACCATGTTGATGAAAAAGTGTCCGTGCATGCGCGTTAACTGTCAAGTTTAGATTTGATTTAATTTGATTATGTCTATTTCTACCAACGTAGATTAACTTTAATCCAGGTTTAAGTTACTTTGTATCTTTTTCTACTTTTAAGAATTAGAAAAAGATAAAAAAGTAAATAAAACCGTGATTAAAGTTAATCTACATTGGTAGAAATGGACATTAGAGTCATATTTATGGTCGGAGTATTTAAAAGAGAGTAGTGCAGATAATTTCAGACAGAAAATGTAATAGTGATGAGAAATACGCGCTTTACACGGTTAACACCCATGCGCGGACACTTTCTCATCAATATGATGAGATTCAATTGGAGAGATAAGAATAATACTGTGGTGGAAAATAGGACATTAGCAATCTATATATATATATCTATGGTTTGGTTTAAACGCGTATCAAAATTATATCACTACGCGCGCCGCCGTGGCCGTCGGCCGTGTAACACCAACGAAATCCCTTGCGCTAATTAAAACGCAAACGAGCGATTCATCTGTCACTGTCCTCCGTAGGGTCGTCCTGGGACTCCTGGAATTCCGGGAAGTATCGGAGCAATGGGACCCAAGGGAGACAAGGGGGAACCTGGCGCACCGAGTCCTTACGGTGTTTCTGTCGGTGTAAGTATAACTTCCAGCTTCTTGTCGTGGTATCGCTCCTGTAAACTTCTCTCTCTCTCTCTCTCTTTCGCGCGTGCATGCTAACTTTACATATAAATCCAAGCGCCTACCAAAAGGCGAAAATCGAGAAGTCGAGCCGAACCCCTTTCTTCGGGTTCCACAGAATCTCCACGCGAATAAGTATAACCCCGTCAGTCGATCGTCCGCGAACGGCGAGAGCAAGAAACATTGCCTTTTGTTTTAAAGGAAAAAGGGAGGAGAGGGGAGGGGAGGAGAGGGGCTGGAAGAGGAGCGGAAATAAAAATAATGGCTTTCACCTCGCGCGCGGTTTCGGCCTGGCGCGGATTAAAGTGACGGGGCACATATATCCCTGTGAATAGGACGATACGGAAGTCTTTGAACAAACGGGCGGCGCGGCGCGAGTGATGGAAATTAATGCAAGAGTGCGCCTGGCGTGCGCCCCTTTTTTTTTTTTCGCGTCTTCGTCGCTGGATTTATTCGCGTTGCGCCGAACAGAAATTTTCTCCGCCGGAGTTTCGCGAGCTGTCACGGCCGACAACTGACAAATAACGCATGCTGATACGCGCGATAGCGCCTCACTTTGCTGCACGAGTCTGCATGTGTGTACAAGCGTATGTGTAACGTATTCACGACCAGACGTATACCGAATAACAATCCTTTTAAATATTACAACATCTAGCTATGAAGTATGTAAAGCAGACCAGCAATTGAGAAAGCTAAATGAGAAAGCAAAGACAGAGTATGTCACAAAAATAGTTTATACTGCAATATATCCAGAGCAATATTTTAGGACGTTGATTCTTTCATGAGTTTCTAATTGAGAATCTAATTCTTCCTTGAAATTTTCAGGAATTCCTTGTTTTGAAAAAGAGCTTTTCGTGAATTAAGATTTAAGGCTGTAAAACGGAGTTTTCGTTTTCCGATTAACTTAATTTTTAATATTTTTGGTGAAAATTTGCGAATTTCGTATTGAGATTTGAAGAAGTGTGGCAAGAAAATCGTTGAACGATTTCTAAAATATTTTTTGATACATTTGGAACATACTATCAGAATTTCTTATGACGAGCTATCAGCCGAGAGATCGTAGAGATCTCAGTGAATGCAATAAAAAGAAATCTCTCCCCCACGATGGAAATTCCATAAAAATACAAAGTACATAGACAACGATAAGAATCGCTCGAGATATCCATCATTTTTCTAAGGGCATAATACAACATTGATAACGACAAGGATAGATTATTCCTCGAGAAAGAGCGATCACAGCGCGAGCAACAGGAAATTCCGATATCGCCTTCCGACGATCGGAAAGGGATGCCTCTCTCGCGCCTAGCACGTAAAGTCGTCTCCGCTGAACTTTGAGCTGAAAAAGAACGCAACGAAGAAACGTCGACAGAAAGCCGACGTGATGCGCCTAACCGATCGTTGCATCTCATTCTTCGATGTTTCCGATAAATCAACCGCTCCTGTTTCTTGGCAATACTTTACTACTTATTGACTCCCTACAAATCTGTCTGCCTGTCTACCGAGGCGATGCGATGCGGCGATGAAAAAAAAGGGGGAGGGGGAATCGATAATCGCAGCTTCTGAATTACATCGACGCGTTTTCGCGAAAAACATCGTGACGATCTATTCACGCGTTAAAAATACGTTTCTAGATTAAAGGCGACAAAGGGGATGACGGTTTTCCTGGAATTCCTGGACAACCCGGAAGAGAAGGCCAAAGGGGACCTCCAGGACCTCCCGGACCTCCTGGAGCACCGTCTCAAGGAAAATATATTCCAGTTCCAGGACCTCCCGGTCCCCCCGGACCCCCCGGTCCGCCCGGCCTGTCTTTAATCGGGCAGAAAGGAGAACCCGGGATCGGTAGAAGTCACGTTTTCGGAGAAAGAGATTACTACCCCCCCAGGCAAGGTAAAGACATTAAGATATTAGAAAGTTGGCAGTTATTATAGTTTGATAATGGACTTGAGTGACGGAGCACTTCGACAATAAAAGAAAAATTATGAATCATAAATTTTGTGTCAGATTAAAAAGAAATTAATTTCAATTAAGAGACTTGACATCGTTACATTAATGCAATGTTTATAGTAACATTATAAATTAGCAATTACTTTCCTTAATAATAATTCTTTTAATTATATTATTCTAAGTGCCGCTTTCAAACGCACGCTTTATGCCTACCAATTATATTTATAACATAATTAAATTTCACACTCGCATACCCGCAAGGAGCCAGAAGTAGTCTGGACGAATTGAAAGCTCTACGTGAACTCAAGCAACTGAAAGAACTGAAAGAGCAATTAGGTAATAACTACAGTATGATATTAAAGCAAATATAGGCATCAGAATCGCCGTTCTTTCGAATGCTTTATAAAATATCGTCTATTAACTGCACATTAACATCGGCATTCTTACATTTTTAAACAACTTTGAAAATTGTTTTCAAGGTGTCGTTACCGCCGCTACAAGGGGACCTTTAGAAAGTACAACGAAAATTGTGCCAGGAGCTGTTACGTTCCAAAACACAGAAGCCATGACAAAAGTGAGATTCATTAACAACAACAGCTTTTTCATGCGCATATGCAGATCTATTTTTAACACTCTCGTTTTTGCGTTTTTCAGATGTCTAGTGTTAGTCCAGTCGGAACCCTGGCCTACATCATAGACGAACAAGCTTTACTAGTCAGAGTTAACAACGGATGGCAATATATCGCAGTTAGTACCAAAAGTTACAAAGAACATCATAATGTAATTAGTTAAAACCAAACTTTTTTTTAATCTATCCTTTAGCTCGGGTCACTTTTGCCTATCACAACGCCAGCACCACCGACGACATCGCCACCGCCGGCAAACCCTCCCTTCGAAGCATCCAACTTAATTAACCAGATACCCGTGAAAGCCGACGGAACAGGGGTAAGGCACTTAAACTCAGCTTTCGCATAAGGCACTTATTTGTCGAAATTAACCGTCTTAATATCGAATTTGCACTTCTTTTCCATGCTGCGCAGTGGTATCCGCGAATGGTGAGATTGTATCGTATTTAATCGAGACTTTTTCCGTCCATTCATTTACTATATAATATTTCGCAATTTTTTTTCTTTAGATTGCCGTGCATGAATATAATAAAAGGGAATATAGTTCTTTAATTAGAATTTTTATAAATTTAATTAAAAATTAATTAATCTTTTTAATTAAAAATGTGCACGCTATTATTACGATTGGAAGTATTGTTCAATTATGTTTTTCAGTTGAGGATGGCTGCGTTGAATGAGCCGTTCACCGGAGATATGCACGGTATACGAGGAGCAGACTACGCTTGCTATCGACAATCCAGGCGGGCAGGCTTGAAAGGTACCTTCCGCGCTTTCCTTAGCTCTCGAGTTCAAAACGTCGATAGCATCGTCAGATTAGGAGATAGAGATCTTCCTATAGTTAATATAAAGGTAATTGGGAATAATATCTAATTCTTTACCATGACGCTTTTTTTTGAAAATTAAATATTTTGCTGAGAGATAATCGGAAATTTTTAGGGTGACGTGCTGTTCAATTCTTGGAAAGAGATGTTCAACGGAAATGGGGCGTACTTCTCTCAGAATCCCAGAATCTACAGCTTCAATGGGAAGAACATCCTTACTGACTTCGCGTGGTAAGTATAAAGAAAAAATATATATAAAACGCGAAAGAAACTATATTTTACTGTACACTGTTAAATCTGTATAGTGTCAAATTTAACCTTATTTAAGTCGCCACTGCTCGTAATATGTAGTTATTTTTAACTAAAACAATAGAGTTAAATAATTTAAAACAGTTCAAATTTCACTCAAATTTGGGTTAAATGTCATTGTTTTATTTGAAAATAATTATATATTAAGCAAGAGCAGTGACGACTTAAATTGGATTAAATTTTACACTATAGATTTAACAGTATATAAGAGAAAATCTAACAATCCTCAAGTATAAATTGTATATTAAATTACTACTAATTTTGAAATGACAAATTAATTAAATGAATTTATGAACAATATTACTTATTATTACTCATTAATTTGAAAATGTATATACATATATTAATAAATAAATAAATATATATTATATATATATTTATTTAGTTATTTATTAATAAATATATAAAAAAATAAAATATATCGTCATATATATATGACGATATATTTTCTCTTCTCATTTTCTTAATATCGTGAAATTAACATTTTGTTTTGATTGCAGGCCTGAGAAAGTCGCGTGGCATGGCTCTCACAAACTCGGCGATCGTGCAATGGACACTTACTGCGACGCCTGGCACTCGAGCAGTTCGGATCGCTACGGACTAGGCTCGCCGTTGACCGGCGGTCGACTGTTAGAACAAGTACGATACTCGTGCGACAATAAATTCGCGCTGCTTTGCATCGAGGTGTCGAGCGAGCTGGTGAGGAGACGGCGGGGCGTCGACAATCGACCAGACGACAACATCGAGATGACGGAGAACGATTACATGGAGTACTTGGAAGAGCTCATGCAATACTGAATACTCTCGCTGCACCTCCGACCATCCGTTTCGCAACGCGAAAAATCGAGCCGTTATGTAAATAGGGAATGCAGATAGCGCGCGTGCTGCGTTTCTTCGCGTGACATATATAATAATATATATATATTATATATATACATAAAAGAAAAATCCCACGTTCGAGTAATTCATATCGATATACATATCGTGTGCGAACCAGCATCACGTCTCATCTTTCCGCGCGAGTTCCCCCGAGATCACGAGAAGCTATCCTCCGATTCCAAAGGTATAATTACTTATACTCTTTCGCCGCCGCGAGCCACTAGCCGTCATCCGCTTCAGTCGCGTCTCAGTTTTCTCTACTCTCGATCTTTCTTAAAAAGATAAAAAGAAGACTGATCGTCTAGACTACTCGTCAGTGTTTCGTCGTATTGCGTACTCTCGCACCGGGTATTTCCCTCCCTTTTATCAGTCGCTTTATACGAAAGCCCCGATCGCTCGTGGTCTATCGAGAAGGCTCTCTATCGCGATTCAACGTTCGTTAAACGTTTTCCCCTCGTCACGATAAACGTCCAAAAATACTTATGGATCGCCAAAGCGAGCGACGCGTAAAACAGCGAACAGTACGTGCTAGACTCGCTCGGGCCCGCGTTTATAGCGCACTTTAAATGCTAAAAGCGGCTCTGTCTAGTTTTATATCCCTTCGTCTCATCCTGTATTATAACACCTATTGGACGACGCTTACTCTCAGCCTACTCCTGAATTATTCAAAAGCCAGAAAATGCAGGCGAACGATTTTTGTAACTAGATCCGTACCGATAGCTTGTCATATCGCAAGAACGAAAGCTCTGAATACAAAATCGTGGTAATCTCAAAATTAAAATAAAAAAATTTTCGGAAGATAAAAAAAATTTGAGATTTAATCGTTTCTATTTTTTTCTCATTTTACTTCTGGTTTTTCTTTTTTGTAACGTAGATAGTTTATATTGGAAGACACACATTTTTCAAGATAGAACATATATATATTGTTTCAATTACGTTTCTTAAAAAAAAAGCATAATTTCAGATGAGTTTTCATAGACTTATTTGATATAAAATGGAAAACTCTATAAATTTTTATCTTTGTGTAACATTTTTCTGAATCAAACAAACTTAATTTTGACATTTTTGGATTTTGGTACAATTCGAAATTCAAATCCTCAATTACTTGCCTAAATTCTCCTCGTTTCTAACCATCTAATTTGTAATACAAAGGTGTACTTATGCGAATCTTCAAGTAGTTGAAACCTAGATACGTTCGGCACTGCCGAATATACTATTAAGTGCGCTACGAATGCGGGCTGTACCGTTTAGGGAAGTAATTACCTAACACTGCCCTAAATAAATCGAAAATGAAGTTCGTATCCGCGATCAAGTTGCATTTACATTTTAGCTGATACATATTGACAATGAGTGTGTATGTTAGACGTAAGAGGCACATCGATTAAGGAGTTTCAGACGACGAGTCGCTCGGCTCACTGTCGAAGATTTATGCTCCGTGTATCTTGCGAGTCATCCAGAAAGAAAATGTACTTTAAATCGTACATCAGTCGCTTTAAGAATAGTTGATAACGCGATCGATTCTTCTGAATCTTTGAAGAGATTATCATTGAGATTTTCGCAAAAATTTTCGAGAATTTTTGCGAAAAAAAAAAAACTAGAAATTAATTGTTAACAAAAGAATGAAAAACAAGCTTATATTCTTAATCATATTAAAATTTCTTTCTGCACTTGTTTGAATATTTCTTTTTTTTTTTTTTTAATTAATTTCATTTTTGATTGACGGCTTTAATATTATCGCGTATAAAACGCAGCAAAAATGCATCGACATGTATATTATACTTCTAATTTCTGTATCTAATATGTATGACACAACTAATTTTTAATACATACGATACGTAATGTCATCAAGCCTAAATACACACACACACATACATGTGAATGAGTAATGTTCATCAAAGTGCTGCCACGAAATATGTACAATAATTTACATACACGTCTCTCTTATTTATTTACAATTTTTTTCTCTCTCAGTCTCGTAGGGTTTATGTTTCTGGTTCTTGGATTACACCGAGCATAAATCAGATCTAAGTCAATGTCTATAACTCTCGAAGATATACCGTTAACATTAACATAATTTATTACAGTTATGTAGAGATTGATCGTGAAACCATATCATATGTATATTTAGGTTGTCAGCAAGCTTGTTGGCGAATATTTCCTAGGTACATACATAAACTTTTTTAATTATCAATAGTAATTCGTGACATATACAGGAACGTACAATCGATTGTCCTTCGATATAGTTTGCACCGAAAATGTTTCATTTCCAAATTTTGTATTATTTGTACACTTTATTATTGTCTTTCTAAATAAAAGATGAAAAGGAGTTTTCTCGAGTCTACATCTCTTCCCTTTTTGTATAATAACATATAAAATAACATGTAAAATAACATATAAAAACAATGCACATATAAATAGATTTGTGCATTATTATTTTATGTGGTACAATTAATAAATAATTGAATTATGAAATTTTCAAATGAAAATAAAGAATCTTTAATATCTATTAATATCTGTCAATGAGAAATAGAATATATTTTACTATGTCAAATCGATAGAAATTAAAAATATGATTTATATTATTTTATATTTAATTCAATACCAAATTATAAACATAAGATAATGTTCACCGATTCGAAAGGAGATTTTTATAAGTATCTATTCAACTTGTGTTATATCTGTATATTAATTGATATGCAGAATAAAAAGTTAAATCAAATATTATATATATATATATATATATATATATATAATATAAAAGAAAATTTAATTTTAATAATTACTTTAATTTTAGAAAATAGGTATCTATTTCTCTCAGTCATCAACTTTCAAATATTTTGCATTAATGACACATGTAAATACGGGTACCTTCTATAAAAAAAGAGGTTTCTTACTTTGAGTCCTCACAGAGAGCCGCGGAAGGCTGTTGATTGCGCCAATGTCCCATCTCATCTCAAAGGACTTCCAGGTCGCCGCAAATGTACATAACTCGTGTGCAGATTCGTGATCGAGCGACGAACCGGAAATTTCCGCACTGTATACCATCTCCGCGCGCGATTAAGACGGAATCAATCTCGCCGCGATTACGTTACGACAGTTCACACAATCGCGTACAGTCGCGACTTATTCCATTAATTTCCCGTTTTCGTTTGCATACGAACCGATACTTTTAGTCCGTGTCAGTTTGAGAGAAATCACGACACTAGCGAATTTTTTTATTAAATGCAATAGACGCGTAAATTGTAAAATTGCTCCTAGAAATCTCAAAACTAAAATATGCTACTAATTGCATTTACTGATTGTAAAACGACATTTTGTTGATTCTTTTTCACTCTTGGCACTAGATGCATATTTTTAGACGATACTTTTTTCTCAATAATACATAAAAACATAAATTTCACGTAATACAAATCGGTAATGTTAAATCAGACGAAGTGATGTGGTATATCCATGATTCTCATAACAGCGACCACATTAATTACGGCATTAATTATTTTTTAAAAATAAATTAAAGGAAAGGCCTCTACTTTAATATATATATTTTTTAATAATTCTGTTACATCATCAATTATATTATAAATGTCTAATATAAAAAAACAAGAAAAGATTTTCAATTAATTCATGCACGTAATTTCGTAAAAATAATAGTCACGACATTAATTACAGCGATATATCTTTTAGTGTATAAAAAATTAGAAACGGAGATTGTGACTAATCAGAAAATTATCGCGAGTATGGCTGATTACTATCCCACATTTTAATAAACTTACTCATACAATTCTACAAAGATAACGATTGTAACAACCATAGCGATTTTGACTTTTTAAATTTAAGAAAAAAAAATACAACCAGTGATTGCGCTTAATAAAAAAATAATCCTGATTATTATCAATGACTCATCTTATTATTATCCATTTTAATTAATTTACACATGTAATGTCTGAACAATTCATATTTACAAGTAACACTACGGTCGCACGGAATTTATTTGAAGAATTCTCGTACGGAATTACGTCGAAGCCGTCGAAGAAATACATTCTATACATTACCGACCGATATACATTTTATCCAGAAATGTGCTACAATCGCGGGGAATCTGCTTGACCGGCTACATCGGAATACCGCATGTTTACTCCCGACAGACATGATCATACCGGTACGCGACATAACCGCGAGCGACGAACCGGATTGCGGACATACCACATCTAACGGAGGGACAACGTTAGTCCTCGATTCTCTCAAAGAGACGTACGGATCATTTGCGATCCGCGGCATCGGAATCTAGCTGCGAAAATCATCGCGGCGAAACCGCGCGGCCGGCGTTTTGAAGCCACAACACGGCGCGTCGGCGCAGCGTCGATTTACGATCGGCGAAACGGCGTCGATCGCGAATGCGCGCGGTAACCGATACATTTCGGCGATCGCCTGTCACCTCGAGCGATAATTCCCATCAAAATTCACACCCGTCGCGCACTTTCGACTGGCAAAATTCGCGATTAATCACGGAGCGACGCGCTCCCCGCGTTCCGAACTGTCGCGCTGCCGAGACTGTCATGGCGAACTGGCGAGTGGCGACGCGTTAGTCTGCGCGCGCATTCCGTTTTATGCATGATTCACATGGTGAAAACGAACGCATAATGATAGATGACATTTTGATATTAATGTTAGCAGACTGCTAGCAGTTTGTAGCAAAATAGATGAAACGTTAAATAAAATGACACTCAAAGTATATTTGTATTAAATATTTTAAACATATTATATCGATTAAACTAATTGACGTTATCTGACATGAAAACCGATAAAATGGCTTGGTTAAAATGATCGCTAAATAGAATATTATATCTTGAGCTTACATTTAAAACAGCTTATACAGAATTTTAAAACTGTCACAAATTTGTTCTGTTAAAAAAAATTTTTACATTCTTTTATCATCCCTTATCTTTATTTTACTTACAACGTTTACTTATACAATAACTTTTTGAAATTTGAATTTATGGTTTTTAATTAATGAAAGGAACGGAACATTTTTTAGACCAAAGAAATTTAAAATTGATTCAACAAGGGATCTTTTACACTAATTGTATTTTACCCATGTATGCATGGGAGAGCAGGCACACTACCATGTATGCCACGGCCCCCACACTATAGATCTAATTTTATTTATGGAAAAATATATATAAAATATTTGCAATTCGGAACTGAATATAAAAAGTTCATTTCACAACGATCTTGCCTTTTGTGGCGCCTCTTGTATATACATATATCAATATTACTCATTCGACGCAAAATATAACACTACATTCGCAACATCTGCACTTTAATTTGAAGACAATTGTCTTAATATAAAGGCAGTAGTAAAAAAATATTTGCTTTTCATCTTGATTTAACGCTATTGCTTTTCTCGATTAAATTTAGAATATATAATTTATAATATATAAATTAAATTTTAAGCTAAATTTAGAATATATAAATTTAGAATATATGTACATAAAATCGAAATTGAATTAGTAAAATAGTTGGGAGTTTAATGGTTTCAATTGTCTTTAAACTTAGAACGCATGAATGATGAGAAGATTGAAAACTTTATTACAAATAATAAAATATAGTACAGTTTTGTATGCATTTGATCGGAATAATTATGTAATTTTTACTCAATAAATTAGAGTTTTTAAGATTTTATTACCGCTAATGCCTCTGTGTATTTTAAACCTTCTAAAATATAAACTAAATTCTCGACCGATGCATCCTCGTCCTCTTCCGCCCATATCTCAAGCATTGTCTTGCATTGTTCATATGGCGTTGCTTTGCTTTGGAAGAAAGCAATCTGGAATACGTATCATGTATTAAAATCTCACGAATAATGTTAGTGTTATGATAAGAAATGCTTGATATTTTATATACCTCTTCATTTGTATAACCAAATTTCGTCGCTAATTTTTTCCAGTCATTTTTCAGGCTTTCCGATAATTTTGCCACCATTTCCGGTGTAACTTTGTTCAACTTTCTGGCTTTAAGGTCAGCGCTTTCAGCGTCAACTTGCTCACTTTCCTGTTTCAATACATCTTCGTTGAATTCTTGATCGGTCGATTCCGACGGCGGCGTCTCCTCGGTTTCCAACTTTGCATCAGACTGTGTCTGCTACAATAAAAAAATATTTAAAAAATGACTAAGATTAAATAACGGTATTGAAATAAATTAAGCCTGTCCGTAAAAAAAAAAATAATGAACATTAGATACTCACTGGACGATCCTTGGCAATTTTCTTAATCATCGTCTCAAGATACTCAGGTAATTTGTTTATAGGATAATTGCCGTGAACAAAAAAATGTGGGCTCCGCCTTGCTAACAGTCTTAATGCTCTCCAACCAAAGTTGCCATCGTTCACCTTCCTATAAATGCAAAACTATTTTTAATAATCACACGAGATGACGCATATGTATATAAGAACGCTCGACTTTGTCAACGGATCTCGGGTTCAATTTCGATTCTTATTTTGTGTATTGCCTCAATTTATAAGAGATTAATTGGAGAATTGAAAGTTGTGTGTAAAGGAGGAATACGAGATGAATTGTGTAATCCATTTCAAGCACAATAAACCAACATGTTCATAATCACAAGGAAAACAGATATCACAATTGATAACACTTACTTATATTTATCATCGACCATTGCAGCAGGATCCAATTCCATTATGGCGTCTTCAAAATACGTTTCCAAGGACGGAAGGAAATCTCTCTCTTTAGATTTGCATGCCTCGAGATTGTTCGGACATAAATTCCATAATTTAGTGAGTTCTGGGCTATTAAAGAATAACGTAAATTTAATTATTCAGTCTCACGCAAATGTTAATTCATTTCCTTGTATTTAAAGGATATTTACTTTCCCATGTGATATTTGCCAATCGTTTGCGCATCTCTAATCATATCACCGATACGTCGTCTCAGTCTCCTCGGTTTTCGCGGCTCCTCGTCACCGACATCCGACGCCGGTCGTTTGAACGGCGGGCAACCCTCATTCTTCCATGCATTCCAGTGCTCCTCGCGTTTCAAGATGTTCTTCACGGTCTCGGCAAACGTGGCACCGTCGGGCGGTGTTTCGGTCAGTAATGTATAGACTTGTTCGGTAGTGGTCCTCACCCATTCCACTTGGTCCGGCTTGAGTTCGTGCGTCTCACTTAAAAGTGATAAACATCATAGTGATTCGATTACGTACACATCACGAGACGTTTAATTTAAGGAAAGCAGACCTTGTCTCATAGCCACTGGCAAGGAAGCTTTGAAAAACAAACATTTTTATGACTATTCAGAGGCATTTCCACTAATTGCCGAATAATTTGTTAAATTCGAGAACGTACAAGGCTTGTGAGTCTTCACTATGAAACTATATTCATCGTATTGCATTAGCAGTGGGGAATACTTACGCCTTGAATTTTACAGTGCTATTCAGATACTGGAAAAGAATGAGAAATTGCAGCAATACATATCGTCTGAAATTGGAGTCCGACAGCTGCAGCTCCAATAACTTTTGATTGGTCAAATATTTTGCAAAATAATGCGTCTCTTTATGGGAGCCTTCCATAGAAGTGTCCATCTTCATGCATGTCGTGGGGTAACTGCGCTGCTCCTCCAATTTGAACGAAGCAAACGCTGACAGCACATTAGACGCATGCTACAAAAGATTAACACTTTTTTTTGTAGATCTATAAAAGTAAGTAATCGCACCACTGTTTTAAAGAAAATATACAAACTCACAGCTGAAAAGACCTTCCAGTGCATTTTATTGTAACACTGATTCGGATTTCTGAAAAAGTCTTGCAGAGCCCAGAACTTTCTGTACAAATTATAATCAATTGGTATCTTGCTCTCCGACTTGTCGTCGTCTTTGGTTATCTGCTCCAGGTCGTCCTCCTCCGCTTTCTCCACGCCGAACTCGGTGTGATTCTCCAGATTGAACTCGCTAACGATATTCAGGCCAGATCTCTCGGAGAACGGAAAGAACTTGGCGAGGAACAGCAGTATCCTGCCGCAAAAGACCGTCTGCTGCGAACGCGACAACCTCCTCAGCAAATCGTTGCACATTCGTAATAAATTATTCTTGCAGGCAGTGAAGAAGAGATCTTCCTTCCACACGGTGACGTTGTTCTCCACGAAGGTGAACAGCTGCTCGCATCTGTCCAGCGTCATCGAATCGAAGATGTCGCCCAGCAGCATCACCGGCATACTCGCCGTCGCGAGGTCCTTCCTGCAGAGCTCTATACAGAACGTGATGTACGACTCGAGGGCGCGCACGTTACCCGATGCATTTTCCGTCAGTACCACCAGCAGGGTGTCCCGGAGCGCCTGATCGATCGCCGCTTTCCTGTCGCTGTCATTCGCACAACGCTCGACGCACTTCTTTTGGAACAACGCGACGTCCGACAGCTTGAAATGCTGCTGCAAATAATCCTGAGGGAGGAAGGAGAAATAAGACGTTTTTGTAAACGTAACGTGAAGTCTCAAACGAGAATTTTCCAATGAAAAGCAATACTTATTCCAAATATTATACTTACGCTGTAGTCTTTCCTCAACACTTCGAACATCGCCATGGTTTTCTACAGTTTTCTACAGCTGTGCTATCATAAATTCTCTATTGTTTTTATAGAAAATTACTTCCACTTATTCTATTTTAAACATTCTCGTGTTTTCCAAGCAATGTGCGATTAGGTTAGGTTACTGACAACTCTCACCGCTCTCCCAACACAGATTAGCCAAGCTCCCAACACTCAGAAACATCACGCATGAATACATGATACGTATGGAATATCCCACCACGCCGCGAGATGTCGCTACTTACATAAACGCAGTGACAGAGACTATGGGCAGAGAGAAGCGTGAGAGAGGCCACGCTGGCTTTTTGGATGGGACCAGCGATTTCCCCCGTACACTAGCGACCCACGTCCACGTTTTCAAAAAAGGAACTACGTACCAAGTACGTCTATCTTATAACTTTGTCGATTAAATCATAGTTAGAACGTGGTTCGTGTCCGTGCTAATCGTGTATTATACATATATGCCACATTTTTCTTTCTTTTTCGTTTTTCTTTTTCTTTCTATTTCACGCAAAACTTCATATTACATAAATTAATTATATATATATATATTTTTTTAAAGTAAAGACT